CGTACTGGGCGTACTGGAGCTGCTGGACCTGCGGGTACTTCTGGAGCTGGAGCTGCTACGGGTGTTGGCGCGGAGGCTACTGCTGTCGGTCCTGGAGTCGGTCCTGCTGGGGTACTGCTGGTGCTGCTGGGGGTACTGGAGCTGGAGCTGCTACTGGTGCTGGTGCTGCCCCAGGGGGTGCTGGTGCTGTCCCTGCTGTGTCTGGAGTCGCCGCGCGGCATCGGCCGTACTTCGTTCCGCTCCTTCAGCAGGTTCTTGGTCTCCCGTCTTCTACTGGTCCTCCTCCTCCCTTAGAGTGTCCACAGCCTGTCCCGTCGCAGTTACAGTTACAGCCGGCCTCCCCACTGCCTGCTCCGTCTCCCTACACTGGTCCTACTGGAGGTCTTGCTGAGCGTCGTGAGCCTGCGTCTCGCCCTGCGTCGCCTGTCCGTGCTGCTCGCACTAGTGGTCGTGGTTCGCGTCAGCGTCCTCCTCCTGTCCCTGGCACGCACCGGATGTCTCTGCGTCCGTCCACTGCTCCTCTGCGTGCCCCTTTGCCTTCTCCTTCTGAGTCTTCTCTTCCTGCTCTTGCCGACCCGGAGTCGGACTCTCTTCGTGCTGCCAGTCCTACTGTCACGCGTCTCCTTGCTACTGTTGTCACTGACCCTTCCTTTGAGTCCACTGCTGCGTCTGCCCTAGTTGCTGAGCTCGTCGACTTTGCTGCTCGCTGTCGCCTAGACTATGTCGCCAGTCTTGTTGCTGAGTCTGAGTCTGTCTGTCCTCCGTCCGTCGGGGGTGAGTGTGCCCTTGGCACGGACGTCCTTGAGGACAGGCAGGAGGAGTTCCAGTGCTTGGCCGCTGCTTCACCTCATCTCGTGTCCGTACTGCTTACCCCTGAGGGAGACCCGGATGCACTTGACATCCCGACTCCGCGCTCTTACGCGGAGGCGATAGAGGGTCCCTACTCCTCTAAGTGGCAGGCAGCTATGGACGCAGAGATGGCTTCCTGGAAGTCCACAGGCACCTACGTTGACGCTGTTCCCCCTCCTGGGGCGAACATCGTCAGTGGCATGTGGATTTTCAGGGTGAAGCGGCCGCCGGGTTCTCCGCCTGTCTTCAAGGCGCGTTACGTGGCTCGAGGCTTCAGTCAGCGGCAGGGAGTTGACTACTTTCAGACCTTCTCTCCCACCCCGAAGATGACCACTCTTCGGGTACTGCTGCACGTAGCTGCTCACCGTGACTACGAGCTACACTCTCTTGACTTCAGCACTGCTTTCTTGCAGGGCAGCCTGCACGAGGAGATCTGGCTGCGTCGCCCACCTGGTTTCACTGGGTCTTTTCCTCCTGGCACCCAGTGGAGCCTACGGCGGCCAGTCTACAGTCTCCGCCAGGCACCGCGTGAGTGGCACGACACACTGAGGACTACACTTGCGGCTCTTGGGTTTGCTCCCTCTACTGCCGACCCGTCGCTGTTTCTTCGCACCGACACTTCTTTGCCGCCGTTCTACATCCTCGTGTACGTCGACGACTTGGTCTTTGCCACAGCTGACACTGCTGGACTCGCCCACGTGAAGTCCGAGCTGCAGAAGAGACACACGTGCACTGACCTGGGTGAACTGCGCAGCTACCTTGGCTTGCAGATCACTTGGGACAGAGCACGCCGCACCATTACCCTGACTCAGTCACACATGGTGCAGCAGGTCCTTCAGCGCTTCGGCTTCACGTACTCCTCGCCTCAGGCCACTCCTCTGCCTACTCGCCACTCGCTCTCAGCTCTGCCTTCGGATGAGTCCGTAGAGTCGAGTGGCCCGTACCCAGAGCTTGTTGGCTGCCTCATGTACCTGATGACCTGCACACGACCTGACCTTGCATACCCTCTTAGCATTCTCGCACGCTATGTTGCTCCTGGGAGACACAGACCGGAGCACATGGCTGCAGCGAAGAGGGTGTTGCGCTACTTGTGCAGTACGTCGGGCATGGGGCTTGTGCGTGGAGGGCAGAGTCCAGTGGTCCTTACTGGGCATGCAGACGCTTCTTGGGCTGACGACCAGGCTACGCAGCGGTCGTCACAGGGTTACACCTTCAGCCTTGGTTCCGGCTCTGTTTCGTGGCGGGCTACTCGCTCGTCTTCTGTTCTCGGCTCCAGTTGTGAGGCTGAGATCTACGCAGGAGCCATGGCTGCACAGGAGCTTCGCTGGCTCACCTACCTGCTGACTGACCTCGGAGAGCCGCCTCGTTCTCCTCCAGTGCTGTACGTAGACAACAAGGCCATGCTGGCCTTGTGTCGGGAGCAGCGACTGGAGCACAGAACGAAGCACATTGCTCTCCGCTACTTTCTTGCTCGTGAGCTGCAGCAGCGTGGTCAGCTGCGTCTTGCGTACGTGGCCTCTGAGGCCAACACTGCTGATATCTTCACCAAGGCGCTTGCGCCTTGTGACCATCAGCGCTTCTGTACTCAGCTGGGCCTTGTGCCTACCTTGCCTCACTTGCTCACCTCTTGACCGTGCTTGTACTGTTACATATATATATACCTGCTCTTGCTTGTCTAGCCTTTTTATATATGTGTACTCCTGCATGTGAACTGGCCTTGTGGCCTTGAACCTGTGCTCGGAATGTGTGGTGACTTTGTGATCCACCCTGAGCTTGCTTTGCTTTGCTTTACTTGACTGGTCTTGTGACCCCTTGTTCTCCCCCACTTTGCCTATGGGGGTGTGTCAGAACATTATAGCTCATGCATATTGTGTAGGCTATAGTGGGGTAGCCCATAAGGGGTACAACCCAATTAGGGTTATTACTTGTACCCAATTCATTCATAGTCATTCCATTCCTTGTTTCTTCTCAACCGCTGGAAGTTACGCGAAGGTCAAAGGTCGCTGACCTTTGACTCGACGAAAAATACAGTGCGACAGCAAGGACACATAACTGACTCGATATTGAGCAGTTACCCGAGTCGACACTGTATCGAACCGCAACAGCAAAAACAGTTAAAGTAAAACCTTTCATATTCCTTGTAATCATATAAAAGCTTTGTATCTCTCTGATATTATCAACTTATCTTGTTCTCACATACCAGTGCAAGGTGGTTCAAGTAAACTCTATTATTACGCTCCGCAAATACAACATTCCTACTTCAACAGATCTTGTCAGAATGTTATATTTGTCTAGCCTGCAGTGGGGTACTCAATAGTGAGTACAGCCCAACTTAGGGTTTGCTATATGTACTCAACTGCTTGCTAGTCCAAACCCTCTTTCTCATTTCTAACTTCCAACTGTTATTCACGCGCGGAATCAGAGCAGGTCGACCCTTCTGGGTCGATCCTGTGCATGGGCCCACCATTATCTTCCGCTGCTACTCTGTCTATCGCGCGCCTCGGGCGCGCGCTGCCTGCTTGCCTGCCGCGCGCCCATGGCGCGCGGCCTTTTTCTTCCCGCCGCGCGCTCGAGGCGCACGGCGGTTTTCTGACCGTCGCGCCGCCCTGGGGGCCGCGCGACGCCCTACTCTGCCCGTCGTGCGCCCCGTGGCGCGCGGCGGTGCCCTGCCCGTCGCGCGCCTCGGGGCGCACGGCGGTCTCGTCACCCGGGGGGCTCGTGCGCGGCCCCCCTCGTCGCCCGTCGCGGCGCCAACGGGGGCCCGCGCGGCCCCAATTCACGTCGCCCGTCGCGGCGCCAACGGGGGCCCGCGCGGCCCCAATTCCCGTCGCCTGTCGAGGCGACCCGGGTGGGGGGCCGAGGGGGCCGCGCGTCGGCCCCTCCTGTCTTCGTCGCGGCCCTGCCCTGCACCTGTCCTGCCCCGGCCCTGTCGCGGCCCTGCCCCCCCCCCCCCCCCCCCCCCCCCCCCCCCCCCTTTACCTCCCTACCCGCCATCTATGGCCCTGCCCTGTGTTAGGGTTTGGGGGTGGCGAGCAGGGGGTGGCGGGTGTGCGGCCTCACCTGCTTCTCCTCCTCCTCCGTCTCCCACTGCTGCAGCTGCCGCTGAGGGGGGTGGGTGTGTGTGAGTCGACGGAGTGGTGCTAGGGGGTGGAGTGTGAGTGAACCTAGGGGTGCAGCAGGGGGTGTGTGAAAAGGGGGGTGCGACAGTGGGGGAGGTTGAAGGGAAGTAGCTGTCGTGTTGCCAGCAGTGCCAGTAGTCCGGAAGTGCGCTTCCGGTAGCCCAGTGATGCCGCTCCGCCAGTCGCCTGTGGGTCCGTTGCTCCTGCCGCTCGTCTTAGCCGCGGAGCCAGTTACTCCTGTAGTCCGGAGGTTCGCCTCCGGTAGCCACAGTGCGCGCCGCTCCTGTTGCCCGTGTGTCTGCAGCTTCCGCCGTTGCCTCCTCTCTCCTTTCCTATTAGTCCAGCCTTCTCCTCCTCACTTGCCCTCTGTGATAGCCTCTAGCTTTGCTTGTATTTGTGAACTATAAACTGCTACTTCTTGTACTTGTGCTCAGAATGTGTGGTGACTTTGTGATCCACCCTGAGCTTGTTTTGCTTTGCTTGTTGTGCTGATTACACCCCACTTTGGCTATGGGGGTGTGTCAGAATGTTATATTTGTCTAGCCTGCAGTGGGGTACTCAATAGTGAGTACAGCCCAACTTAGGGTTTGCTTTATGTACTCAACTGCTTGCTAGTCCAAACCCTCTTTCTCATTTCTAACTTCCAACTGTTATTCTAACAGATCTTAGCCTTGAAAAGATCCTAAGGGATATTTCTCAGCCCAACAAGTACTTGTACCCAACTCATTCATAGTTCATTCATTCCTGCACAGTTGTTCCGACACATGGTGCGCCTATCGACTCATACGGTACGTTTGACGTGGCAGCTGAAACGCTTCCAGGATAATTGTCACATCAGCAAGCTGATCCGCTGTTACCTTACTCTAGAGACTTCTTCACCAGTTGCACCAGCAATCCCCAAATGCCGTATATTTCTTGTTATCCTACATTAGATAAATAATTGATTATCCATCTCTCCTTATCTGCCCTTTCCCAAAGCCGTTTGATCCATAAAGCAGCATCATGCACCAATGACAGCCAACAAAACACAGTTTAACGACCATATCCGAAGCCAGAATTGTATCGTGCTTCCTTTCTTCGCTGTCCTGTTTCAGGCCCATGCATCACAATACCCCCGAACAACCCATTTCCTTCAACCCCACCTCCCAGCTCTCTCACCCCTGACGCATTCCCTACCCCTGCTGCTACAGAACCTACAACCCCTCCCAATCCTCTTCCCCCTGTTGTCTGGTGGTGCTGCAGTAACAGAATCTGAGCTCGTTCCCTCTCCCTTGCCTCCCTTGCCACCCTCTCCGCTCTCAAAGCCTCTATGCTCATCTTCCCATGCTCCGCAGCAGCACCCCCCGATTCGCACCTCATCCTTTCTTCTGTAGCTACGCCCTCCTTCCCCTTTTTTCTCTCTGTTCCCCTTTCGTTTCTGGTCTTCCTACCCCCTGACGCTCCTAACGCCCTGCGTGTCTCCCTCACCTGCCTCTTCCCCACATCGTGCTCCTTGCGTCGGCGCTGTCCACCCCTCTCCCCGGATCGATCTCTGGCACTGTGCCTGCTCCCCTGCTTCTTCCTCACTCGACGATCACTGTCGCTGTCCAAAGAGGAGGAAGATGAACCCTGAGAGGAAGAGCGACCAGAGGAGGAAAATTGCCTTTTCCCGTGATGCTTCTTCCAGTGTTTCCTTGAACGGCAGCGGTGGTGGTTAGCATCGTCATCGCTGCTTGCAAGTGAGGTGGAGGATGAGGAGTGTGGAGAAGCAGACCGCCGCCTTTCACGCTTCCGTTTCTTCTTGTGCCTTGGAATAGAAACGTGCTCATTGCCATCCTCAGCAATGATGTCTTTGTCATCATTGTCGTCTCTATCTTCGTCTGTTGCACGGTGAATTCCTGTTGGCCGAGGGACATGAGACGCAAAAAAGCCAGGGGACGGAAATGATGAGGCAGAGTCAGGGCAGCCAAACAGGATCTGAGCAAAAAACGCGTGAAGGAGAGAAGCAGCTGGCAACCTATACACTAAATTTGTAAAGTCAGACCAAAAGAGATGACTGCAAGAATTGAGTGATATTGAGCGTACCTTCCCCAGGTTTAATCTTCGTCACTCTTTGTGAATCCAACTTATGAGGCGCCTCAAATGCCACTTTTTGTGAGTCCGTTTTCGCTTCTGGTACTTCCACGATTCTTCTCTTCCCCACTCCCCTGCTTCCTGCATCCTCCTTAGTCTTCCCCGCCTGTCCTTCCCCCTCCCCCACTGTCAAGTCACCCGCTCGCGCATACCAGGGCTGCTGCCCACCCTTCCCCACTGCTCCGTACCCTAATCTGTGCTTCTCCTCCTCCCCCGCCTTGTGCTCTTTCTCCCACACCTCCTGCGCCCGACCGGGCCTCACCGCGTCGCTCGACTGCGCGCCTGCACTGCACGGTAACGCGGAGAAATCAGCCGAGTCTAAGCCTTCGAAAAGGTTTATGTGACCCGCGTTAAGCGCGCCCGCTTGCGAAACAGAGTCGCGTGTGCTTATAGCGAGTGATTCGGCCAATCGGGACGAGTCCGCGACGACCACGGCGTCTTCCGCCGACGGCTGCGCCGCTTGGTCCTGCGGGGGAAGCAGATGCTCCTCCGCCGCCTGCTGCTGGGGAAGCGGAAGGTGCTGCTGCCGCGCGCGCGCGCGGAGCGTTTGAAGGCGCAACTCGCTGTCGCGGAGGCGCTGCTCTTCCGCCAGGGCCTGCTCGCGCGCAGCCTCCTCCGCCTCGTCCTTGCGCACCTTCTCCCGGTTCTCGTAATTGTACACGTTCCACCGCTTCTGCGGAAGAATGTTCAACCCGCCGTGCCCCCCCATCGGCGACCACTTACTCCAGCTACTGTGTTTCTCAAGCGGGGGTGGTTGCACGTGTTATGAGTGCAAGCACTGGGGACTAGGAAGCTTGGTTGCATCTACCCGACACAGAAATCCAGAAGTCTGGTTCCACCAGATACGTCCCAGGCAAGTTCTGTTGGCACACACTAGTGAGTGACTGGTGGCTGGACGGTTCCACGATAAGTGCGAGGCATCCCAACCTGCATGAATCTGCGGTGCGCCCATGGGTACAGTAACCAGAAAAACAGGTGGAAAAAAAGAGGTGGGTGGTTGCGAAGTTGCTTCGTCATCTTCGACAATCTTCGCTGAACCGCTGCCGTTCCCCCTTCTAGTGAAACCCGCAGGGCTTGTGCGCCAAAAGAACGCGGCCCTGGCGAACTTGACAGGCCGGGCCGGACGGTTTTCCACCCCGTCTATCCTTCCACGAACCTTCGAGCGTTCGAACCTTTTGCTGCAGTGGCGATTGGCTTGTGCGCCAACAGAGCGCGGCCTCAACCTTCAAACCACCCCGTCCATCCACCATTCACCCCACCAACTGCACCACATTCTCAACTTCCCTTACTCTCTCCACCACATCCGCTTGTGCCGCAGCCTTAGGCCTCCACTCAGCTCCAGTCAACCAGAACAGACCACAGGCAAGTAGGACCCAATGTTCTAGCGTTGAACCCGTGTTATGGCGAGATGCTCATAGCTGGTGCTCTTTCCGTCAGCCTTTTTTTCTTATGTGGGTTACAGGTTGCCTCCACTCGTTGTGTGAATTCGATCCTTCTTTTGACCTAAACGCGCGAATCGTTACATTATAGCATTCTCTTCTCCGTTCTGTTGCCATAGGCGCTACCCTAGCCACTTCGTTACTTGCCGTCCCCTTAGTCTTCTTCCGGTGCGTCCGATACGCTTCTGCTGAGAACACTCAAGTGCTTCATTACTCGTCCCCTTCGCCGCGTTTCTCCTCCTCCCCCGGTCGTATCCCTTCGTCAACCTATCCTCCGCGTGTGCCCTCGCAAACGCTCCGACATCGCGCATCTCCTGTCCCGCATCAGCCGCCGTCACTGCATGGCATGGTCGCATGAGCTTATGCACTCCCACCACCGACCTGCGCGCGCACACGCCAAGACCACCCGCCCCCCGGCCATGTCTCGCCAACACGTCCGAGGCCACCCGTACCACGAGGCGCAAAGGCCGCACCCCGCGCAGGGCTCGTCCGCCGTGCCCGTCACGGGCGGCGAGCGCGCCGCTGCAGCGGCGGCGCGCGCAGGCGGAGCAGAGGCCGCAAGGCCCGTGGCGGGCAATCTGGAGAGCTTCCTCGCGCACGTCACCCCGCACGTCAAACTGCGCTTCCTCCCCAAGGTACCGCCTCCCCCAGGTACCGCCTCCCCCAGGTACCGCCTCCCCAGGTACCGCCTTCCCCAGGAACCGCCCTCCCCCAGGTACCAACTCCCCCAGGTACCGCCCCCACGTTCTCTCCCCCAGGTACCACCCTGTCCCTTTCTTCTCCCAAGTAACTCTCCCCTGCTCCCTTCCCCGTATACCGCCTTCCCTCTGTCCCCCCGCTCATCTCCCCACCTCTGCACTCCGCGCGCCTCCCTCCTCCGCCACCCCCGCGCGCAGGACTGGTGCGACGAGCACAGCAACGGCGCGCGCGCCAAGGCCCCCCCCGGCGCGCCTGCCGCGGCGTTCTTCGCGCTGAGCGACCTGTGGGACGCGCTGGAGGAGTGCAGCGCGTACAGCGCCGCCGTGCCGCTGCACCTCCCCCCCACAGGCGCGCCCGCCACGCAGCACTACGCGCCCTCCATCTCCGGGCTGCAGCTCTTCTCCCGCCTCCCCGCGTCCGCCGCGGGCCCCCCCGCCCCGCGCCTGCACTCGTGCAGTCCGCTGGAGCAGCCCAGCCTCGCGTCGTCCCCCCACTCCCCGCACTACCCCCACTCCCCGCACTCTCCGCACTCCCCCCAATCCCCCCACTCCCCGCCGTCTCCCTGGGAGGCGTATCTGGAGGAGGGCGGCAACGGGCGGTGCGAGGAGGGCGCGGAGGCGTGGTGCCGCGACTGCAGTGGCGGGCGCCCGCTGCTGGAGTTCTTCGAACGCGCACCGCCACACTGCCGCCCACCGCTCTACACCAAGGTGCCTAACACATGCACCGCCACACTGCCGCCCACCGCTCTACACCAAGGTGCCTAACACATGCACCGCCACACTGCCGCCCACCGCTCTACACCAAGGTGCCTAACACATGCACTGCTGCACTGTCCTTGCCTTCTTTTCTTCCAGCCTGCCTTGCCTTGCATGCCCTCTGCCTTGCCTTGCATGCCGCAGAGCTGGAGCGGGGAGTGCGCATTTGAGACGACCCAAAACTCGATTCCGTGCCGCTGGTCACTGAGTGCCGCTGGTCACTGAGTGCCGCTGGTCACTGAGTGCCCTCCTTGGGCTAATCTCCCCCCTCCACACATGGCAGGTGGCGGAGCTGGAGCGGGAGTGTGCAGTGCTGAGGCAACCCAAAACTCGATTCCGAGCCATTCCATTCCTTGTGGCAGGTGGCGGAGCTGGAGCGGGAGTGTGCAGTGCTGAGGCAACCCAAAACTCGATTCCGTGCCGTTCCATTCCTTGTGGCAGGTGGCGGAGCTGGAGCGGGAGTGTGCGGTGCTGAGACGCACCTCGAGCTTGCAGCTGCATCCGCGAAGCTGGATCGCCATCGCCTGGTGAGCAGAGCACCTTTCTTAAACATCATAGTTGCTGCCACGTAAAGTCATGGCACCTAACTGGGGCCCACTCGAGCAGCTGGATCGCCATCGCCTGGTGAGTGTGCCTGCCACAGGGGGGCTGGCAGGCATTGCGTTGCAGCATTGCACTTGCTGGAGGAAAGGGGGGGCTGGCACCCCCTGGCACCCCCTGGCACCCCCTTGCACCCCCTTGCACCCCCACCTTACTGCGCTCTGCCAGGCTCTGCCACATTGTGCTGCCGCCTCCCCTCTTTCACCACACCCACCACACGCTCTGCACTGCACCCACTCCCTCCCCGATTCCTGTGTCTCCCCAACAATCATTCGCCGCTATCAGAACGTGCGGCCTCGTTCTGCACCTGCTCCCCCCCGTCCCGTCCCATTGCCATCACCCACATGCCCATCACCCACATGCCCATCACCCACATGCCCATCACCCACATGCCCATCGCCCACATGCCCATCACCCACATGCCCATCACCCACATGCCCATCGCCCACATGCCCATCGCCCACATGCCCATCGCCCACATGCCCATCACCCACATGCCCATCACCCACATGCCCATCGCCCACATGCCCATCACCCACATGCCCACCCCCCCTGCGTGCACAGGTACCCGGTGTACAGCATTCCCACAGCCGCCACCACGCGTGACCTCTCCGCCTCCTTCCTCACCTTCCACAGCCTCTCCTCCCCTCTGCCCTCCTCCTCCGGTCAGCTTCTTGCCTGATCTACCCCTGACATTGCCGTGCCTATATTTTCAAGGCAAAAAAGAGAACCTGGATGTTTTCTTGCTCCTTGTGCTGTTTTCCTGCTCCTGTTCCCTCCCAAGCTGCATCCCTGCTCCTGTTCCCTCCCAAGCTGCATCCCTGCTCCTGTTCCCTCCCAAGCTGCATCCCTGCTCCTGTTCCCTCCCAAGCTGCATCCCTGCTTCTGTTCCCTCCCAAGCTGCATCCCTGCTTCTGTTCCCTCCCAAGCTGCATCCCTGCTTCTGTTCCCTCCCAAGCTGCATCCCTCATGCGCTTTCGTATTCATCGTGCATGCTTGCATGTCAAAGTAGCTCTTTTATTTTTTTTCCATATGCCTTTACCTATGTGCTCTCACCCTCTCTGCATCCCAGGGTCCTGCAGCCTCTGCAGAGCCAGGTTCTGGATTGCCCCGCCATCCTTGCCCGTCTTCCAATCCGCCAAGCACTTGCCCGCCCGCCCATCGTCGGATTCAGCTGACGGTGCGAGCGAGGGGAGGCAACGGGGGGTTTTCACGACGCCTCTGGTGCCGTTTGGCTTTGCGGGGTACAAGACGTGGGGGACGGTGTGGTCGGACCGGGGGGCTGTGCGGGGCCTGGAGGTGGCGGCAACGCAATGGCTTCGGCAGATTGATGCCAACCTGCCCGACCATGCCTTCTTCTCCAGGCAACGATAGACGAAAAGAAGAGAGTAACTTGTTTTATTGCACATTTATTGGTGCTTTTTATGTTAACAAGTGAACAACTGACAAGAATGAGAGCATACTGGCAGGGCCTCAGATTGGTTTTTGTGTACCCTGAGCACTCAGTGTCCCTAGGAGGGTAACACTGATTTTCAGTGTCGTCTAGTGTGAAACCACTGGAAAATCAGGGTTGTTAGAAATAAAACGCTGATCAATCAGGGTTTCTACAACTTCAACACTGATCAGCATAGTTGCTTTACTGGTATGCTGTCATAACACAGCGAATCAGACTGCCCTCACTTTACAATTCCCAAATTCGGCCAGGATTCTGCTATTTCCGTGTCTGATTGGTCAGAAATCTTGTCTGACCAATCGAATAGGACAATTGTTAAGAATTGTTTCTGATCTCTGGTTGTGTACTTGACTGATGATTCGGACTTGGTTCGTCACAGCAGATTCGCCCTGACGGCAAATTCGACCTCGCACAGTCGTTACGCGCTGTCGCAGCACAGCAAATTCGCCCAATCATAGCAGATTTGCCCTGACACAGCAGCAGATTCGCCCCTCACACAAGAGATTCGCCCTGTCAGAGCATGTTTCGCCAGAAATCCCCTTGGTGCACGGTGCACAGTGACGGCGCGCCAAAACAAGGAGTTTTCGGTTTCAGGGTAGACCCCGATACAACACTGACTCGTCAGTGTCCTCAAACACAAAACACTGGAAAATCAGAGTTCGAAACTTAAAAACACTGAAACATCAGGGTCGTTGAAAAAAAAAGGCTGATGCATCAGGGTCATGATAAAAAACGGGGGTCAAACTTCAGGAATTCAGGGTAAAATTCCTGACATCTGAGGCCCTGCATACTGGATATGTACGGTAGCAGTCCATATCCTCTATAGCACAACCAAATCGAGCCTACAAAAAAGCGTGCAAATGTTGTTAGAATGGAGGAAAACGTGACTAGAATGGGAATGTACAATGAGGTAATGCTAGGGCCCTTGCTAGGACTTAGAACATCCTGAGGCCTTAGAGAGGCCCTGCATGCATGTATGCACCTCAGCAGGCCCTTAGATTCGTTTTTGGCCTGTCTGATTCGTCAGACTCTCACAGTTTTAGTCTGAAACTCTCAGAGTTGGCATAAAATGTCAGAATAACTGTGCAAGAATGATTGGATTAGCAAGAGTTGGGGTACAAGTACCAACCCTAGAAGTGTTGTACCCCATAAGGAGTGCCCCACTATAGCCTACAAGTAAGATTGTACTTTGACACACCCCCATAGACTAAGTGGGGGACAACAAGACAGTCACAAGACCAGTCAAGCAAGACAACAGAGCAAAGCAAAGCAAAGCTCAGGGTGGATGATGGATCTCAAGGACACCACACAATCCGAGCACAAGCAAGCGGCCACAAGGCCAGTTCACACGCAGAGTTATAATAGCAAGGCACTACACTGATCACAATCTAGCAAGAGGAAACATGTAGATATAAATATAGATAGCTGAGTACAACAAGTGCAAGATCAAGAGACAAGCAGGTGAGGTAGACCGGGCAGAAGCCCAAGAGCAGTGCAAAAACGCAAAAGATCACCAGACCCGAGGGCCTTGGTGAAGACATCAGCAGTGTTGGCCCGAGAGGACACGTAAGAAAGGCGAAGCTGACCACGCTGCTGCAGCTCTCGAGCAAGAAAGTAGCGAAGAGCAATATGCTTCGTTCCGTGCTCCAGTCTCTGCTCCCGACACAAGGCAAGGATGGCCTTGTTGTCGATATACAGAACTGGAGGCGAACAAGGTCGCTCCCCCAAGTCGGTCAGCAGGTAGGACAGCCAGCGTAGCTCCTGTGCAGCCATGGCCCCCGCGTAGATCTCGGCCTCACGGCTGGAACCAAGCACAGAAGAAGAACGAGTGGACCTCCACGAGACAGAACCAGAGCCAAGGCTAAAGGTGTAACCCTGTGACGAACGCTGATTCGCCTGGTCGTCGGCCCAAGAAGCGTCGGAGTATCCTGTGAGTACCACTGAACACTGTCCTCCAAGCACGAGCCCCATGCTTGATGTACTGCACAAGTAATGCAGTATCCTCTTCGCAGCATCAAAGTGCACCTTTCGGTTTCTACCGGGAGCCATGTAGCAAGCCAGGAGGCTGAGAGGGTACGCAAGGTCAGGTCGTATGCACGTCATCAGGTATATGAGGCAACCCACTAGCTCTGGGTATGGACCACTCGGCTCTACAGACTCGTCGGAAGGTGGAGCTAAGAGCGAGTGGCCGGTAGACAGAGGAGTGGGCTGTGGCAAGGAGAACTGGAAGCCGAAGCGCCGAAGGACCTGGTGCACCATGTGTGACTGAGTCAGGGTGATGGTGCGCCGTGCTCTGTCCCGGTTGATCTGCAAGCCAAGATAGCTACGCAGCTCACCCAGGTCAGTGCAGGTGTGTCTCTCCTGCAGCTCCGCGTTCACTAGGACCAGCGCCTCAGTGTCAGCAGTAGCAAAAACCAAGTCATCGACGTACACGAGAACGTAGAACGGCGACAGAGTAGTGTCAGTGCGTAAAAACAGCGACGGGTCAGCAAAGGAAGGAGCAAACCCAAGAGCCGCAAGTGTAGTCCTCAGTGTGTCGTGCCACTCTCGGGGCGTCTGACGGAGACCGTAGAATGGCCGCTGGAGGCTCCACTGCGTACCCGCAGGAAACGACCCAGTGAAGCCAGGTGGGCGGCGCAGCCAGATCTCCTCGTGAAGGCTGCCCTGCAAGAAAGCTGTGGAGAAGTCGAGGGAGTGCAGCTCGTAGTCACGTTGTCCTGCAACGTGCAGCAGCACCCAAAGAGTAGTCATCTTCGGGGTGGGGGAGAAGGTATGGAAGAGGTCGACCCCTTGTCGCTGACTGAAGCCTTGAGCAACGTAACACGCCTTGGAGGCAGGCGGAGAACCCGGCGGCCGCTTCACTCTGAAGATCCACATGCCATCGACTATGTTCGCCCCAGGAGGAGGAACCTCGTCGACGTAGGTGCCTGTGGACTTCCAGGAAGCCATCTATGCGTCCATGGCTGTTTGCCACTGAGAAGAGTACTCACCCGCGATCGCCTCAGCGTAAGAGCGCAGGGTAGGGATGTTAAGTGCATCCGGGTCTCCCTCAAGGCAAAGCAGCATGGATGCGAAACAAGGTAAAGCGGCCGCAAGACACTCAAGCTCAAACTGCCTGTCCTCAAGGACGTGACTTCTAAGGGCAGGCTCACCCCCGACGGATGGAGGACAGACATACTCAGACTCAGTAACAAGACTCGCGATGTAGTCGAGACGACTCCTAGCTGCAAAGTCGACTAGGGAAAACTCTGCAGTAGACTCAAAGTCAGGGTCAGTGACGACAGTAGCGAGGAGACGAGTGACAGTAGGACTGGCAGCACGAGCAAGGTCGGACTTAGGGTCAAGAACGTGCGGAAGAGAGGACGCTGGAGGCTCAGGCAGGACAACACGATGTGGAACAGAGGAAGGACGACGTGCCATACCGTGAGTGCCTAGGATAGCAGGAGGACGAGGACGGGCGACACGACGAGCACAAACAGGTGTGGAACCACGAGTCTCAGGCTCATGAAGCTTAGTCAGGGACTCAGTCACCTCAGTGTGAGGAGCAGGCGCAGGCAGCGGGGAGCCAGGTAGTAGCTGTGGCTGAGACTGGTCTGTCGGTCGACACAGGAGGGATAGAGGGAGGCCAGTGGAAGACGGGAGACTAAGAACCTGGCGAAGGACAAAGTCAGGCGGCGGCAGGGACGACTGCGGCTGCAGGTAGAAAAACGGTCGGCGTGGGGCAGAACCAGCAGCTCCAGCTCCTCCAGCACCAACAGCACCAGCACCTCCAGCACCAGCAGCTCAAGTAGCATCTCCAGCACCTCCAGCACCAGCAGCACCACGAGCTCCGGCAGCGCCAGCACCTCTAGCACCAGCAGTACCTCCAGCACCTCTAGTGCCAGCAGCTCCAGTAGCACCTCCAGCACCTCCAGCACCAGCAGCACCACCTGCTCCGGCAGCTCCAGCACCTCTAGTACGAGCACCTCCAAGACCAGCACCTCCAGCACCTCCAGTACCTCCAGTACCTCCAGCTCCAGCGCCTCCAGTACCAGCATCTCCAGTACCTCCAGTACCTCAAGTACCTCCAGTACCTCTAATACCTCTAGTACCTCTAGCTCTAGCGCCTCCAGCACCAGCAGCACCAGCACCTCTAGTGCCAGCAGCTCTAGCAGCACCTCTAGCAATAGCAGCACCACCAGCTCCGGCAGCTCCAGTACCTCTAGTACGAGCACCTCCAGGACCAGCAGCTCCCGCAGCTCCACCACCAGTAGCACCAGCACCTCCAGTGCCAGCAGCTCCAGTACCCCAAGCACCTCCAGCAGCACCTCCAGCACCTCCAGCACCAGCAGCACCACCAGCTCCGGCAGCTCTAGTACCTCCAGTTCGAGCACCTCCTGGACCAGCAGCTCCAGCACCTCCAGTACCTCCAGCTCAAGTGCCTCCAGCACCAGCAGCACCTCCAGCACCAACAGTACCTCCAGGACTAGCAGCTCCAGCACCTCCAGCACCAGTAGCACCTCCAGGACTAGTGGCTTCGGCACCTCCAGCACCAGCAACACCTCCAGTACCTCCACGACTAGCAGCTCTAGCACCTCCAGCACTAGCAGCACCTCTAGTACCTCCAGCACTAGCAGCACCTCCAGCACCTCCAGCAGTACCTCCAGCACCTCCAGCACCAGCAGTACCTCCAGAACTAGCAGCTCCAGCACCACAAGGACCGTACTATCCACCACCGGGACTACCTCGCCGAACGATCGACGCACTAATCGCCTGCGGCGAGAGCGTCACAAGTAGATCAGGCCGCGGTGGCTGTCCAGCTCCAGGACCTCCAGCACGGTCACCCACAGCTCCACCGCCACTAGGACTCGCAGCACCCCCAGAACCAGCACCCCCAGGCGCATCACCCCAAGAACCCTCACCCTTTGTCTCAGCACCCCCAAACTCAGCACCAGCAGTCTCAGCTCCAGAGTCCACATCAGCAGGCTGCGGAGGCGACGAAGACGGCCGAGGCAGAAAACCAAAGGGTGTCTCCAAGCGTGGAGAGCGGCGAGTGGCCGCCGTGTCGTCAGCGGCGAGGTCACCGGGCCAGAGGAGTCAGAACAAATCTCCAGAGGCTCAACGAAGGGGGGTGGGTCTACCTGAGACACACCTGAGGGAGCAGGACCCTGTGGGGGGAGGGGGTCTACCGGGGGGGGGGGGACTGGTACCAAGAAAAGAGGCACTAGGGGGACCGGGTGGGACGCATGCGGGTGTAGTCTGTAGAAAGAGACAGACTCGTCAAAGGTGACGTCCTGGGAGGAGGAGACTCGACGCGCGCACGGGTGGTAGAACTGCCATGGCGGGGCGTCGGTGGGGAAGCCAAGGAAGACGTAGCGGAGAGTGCGAGAGGAGAGCTTGCTCGCTTTGGCATCGTGAACAAGGGAGAGCGCGCCCCAGACCCGAAACACCAACGCATCGCCAACCTTCCCCGTCCACCGGAGTGTGGGTGAGGTCTCTGGCTCAGAGACACGGGGCCAGAGGTTGAGCTGCTGCGCAGCGTATCGGACCGCAAACGGCCACAAAAAATGGGGAGCGGCCGCATGGATCATGGAGGTACGAGCAACCTCCATGATCAAGCCAATGCGACGCTCAGCAATCCCATTTTTCTGAGGAGAGGCCGGAAGCGTGAACGACTGGCGGATGCCCTCGTCTTGACAGAACTCCGCAAGGAGGCCAGAAGAGAACTCACCGCCCCTGTCAGAGTGCAGACGCATGACTGGGAAGTCCCAACGAAACCGCTCGCACAGCTAGCGACGAGTAGCACGGATACAGGGGATCAAAACACCGCTGACTTCCGCCTTGCGCCGTAAGGGGAAGATTGTGGTGTAGCGCGTGTAGTCGTCAACGACCAGCAGGAAGTAGCGCTCCTGGTCCGTTCCACCAACGGGAACCGGGCCCCACACGTCCATGTGGAGAGTCTGTAGAGGAGCAGTGTTCGGAGGAAACTCGGAGGAGTGAGGAGCGGCGCGCTAACGCCCCTCGACGCAGGGAAGGCACGGCGGTGCAGGCGAGTGCGGGAGGGAGGGCAGGGACCCGGGAAGGCCAAAGACAAGGAGACGGGAGTGCATGCTGCGGAGACGCGGTAGCGAGGGGTGACCTAGGTTGTGGTGCCAGAGTAGAGTCTGGTGAGAGAGTACCCGACACGAGCAAGACGATGCAAGCTGACCAGACGCACACACTCGACTCGACGCAGCCACCTGACCTGACTCAACCACCTTTTCAGACTCAGTGGTCAAGGTGTACAGACCGGACCCAGGCTCACGAGTGAAAGTAGCAAGGTGACGGCCAGTCCGTGAGCACTTACAGATCGCCACACGCTGTCCTCCAGGAATGAAGGTGTCAACCCATTCATCCTAGAGAACTGCGTTGCTCAACAATTTCGTCGAGAACGCGGGGAGGTGGAGACCTGAGAGAGACCCAGAGGGGACTGCCGGACACGGAAGGTCAGTGGAGGCTCGCGCAACTACTGGGCCCCCAGTGGGGTCAGCCAGTGAGACTGGGACAGGTGTTGTGAGTGGTGTGACTGTGGTGCAATCATGAAAGAAGCAACGTGACGCGCCTGAGTCAAGCGCGAAAGTGTGCAAGGCCTCAGCTGAGGCAGGACCTGTGGCAGTAGACGCACTAGCACCTAGAGCATCAGCACAGACTCACGAGCACCTAGAGCTGCAACAGACTCACGAGCACCTGGAGCGGCAGCAGACTCACTAGAACCGAGAGGAGCAGCCTCTATACTACCAGGGACGCATCGCTGAGAAGCACAGTTGCAAGGTGGCTGAGGCCACATACAACTAAAACCTCCACCACCAGGACTGCCTTGCTGAATAACCCACTCACGAAGCTGCTGAGGGGTGGGGTCGTCCGGGAGAGGCAGTGACCGCTGCTGTCCACCCCTGGCTGCTGCAACTGCCGTGATAGTGGCCATGACAGGCAATGACTGTCAGTAGTAGGTCCAGCAACTCCAACACCAGCAACACCTCCAGTACTCCCAGCCGCACCTCCAGCACCTCCAGCACCAGCAGCACCTCTAGCACTCCCAGGAGCACCTCCACTAGTAGCAGCAGTAGCATGAGCAGGAGCAGCAGTAGTAGTAGCAGCAGGGCGGCTATGTGGGGCTGGTCGGCGACACCTCCAGCACTCCCAGCAGCACCTCCACCAGCAGCAGCAGTAGCACGAGCAGCAGCAGCAGGGTGGCTCGGGTTGGACATGGCGGCTTGGGCTGGGCGGCGCGGCTCGGCCTGGGCGGCGCGGGCAGCAGGGCGCGACGCGCGGGGCAGCAGAATGCGATGCGTGGGCTGCAATAGGGCGCGATGCGCGGAGCAGCAGAGTGCAACGCGCGGGCTGCAGCAGGGTGCGACGTGCAGGGCAGCAGGGCGCGACGTGCTGGCTGCAGCAGGGCGCAACGCGCGGAGCAGCAGAGCACAACGCTCGGGCTGCAGCAGGGCGCGACGCGCAGGGCAGTAGGGCGCAACGCGCGGGCTGCAGCAGGGCGCGATGCGTGGAGCAGCAGAGCGCAACGAGCGGGCTGCAGCAGGGCGCGACGCGTAGGGCAGTAGGGCCCGACGCGCGGCCTGCAGCAGGGCGCGACGCGCAGGACAGTGGGGAGCGCGCTGGGCAGGGCAGCAGGGCGCGACACGCTGGGCTGCAGGGCAGGGCGGTGGAGCTCGCGAGCTGCAGGGCAGGGCGGCGCGCGGGCCTAAGGGCAGGGCAGCGCAATGCACGGGCTGCAGGGCAGCTGGGCGCAGGCTGCAGGGCAGCTGGGCGCGGGCTGCAGGGCAGGGCGGCGCGCGCTGGACAGGGCAGCGGGGCGCGACTCGCAGGCTGCAGCAGGGCGCGACGTGCGGGGGGCAGGCAGTGCGAGTAGCTGCAGGGCAGTGCGACACTGTGCGAGCAGGGCCGAACAGTGCAAGGGCGCTTCGAGCAGGAACGAGCGGAACTATCGGTGGGCCCTAAAAACTTAACAAGTTTCCTACTCTGAATACCATGTCAGAATAACTGTGCAGGAATGATTGGATTAGCAAGAGTTGGGGTACAAGAGGAAATGTGGTTAGTGACTGCTGAAGGTAAGCTGGCAGGAATCTGGCAGAAAGACTAACACTTTAATAACCAATGACAACCAGTACGCCAGAGCTCACCTCCTTGTGTTGAAAGGCACTGTTCAGGATGTTTAGGTGCTCAAGCACATCAGCAATGAAAAACAGGAGGAAGTGAAACGTGTAGCTCGTCACAAGCGCATAGAGCTTCGCGTCCCACTCCTTCAACATCACGATAAGAGCCGGAAGGACGACGACAAGCCTGAGCACTGCGTCACCCCGCGAAAGCCAATGAACGGCATGGATCCCTTGTAGCTCCAGTGAGGTGGAAGTGAAGACTTCCTGTAGCCCCATGAAGCGCTGGTGCCATGGCCCAGATCGACCGAGATGCTCAGCCACGGTGCGAATCACCGTGTCAATAACGTTGAAGGCGGGAATATTCTCGGCGGCTTTTTTAGCCGCCAGTGCCTCCTTGTACAACACGGCGCAAACATTAGTTAGTCGTGAACATAAATAAGCGGAAAACAAACCACGGAAACCTTATGCACAAACACTGAAATACCTGTGCGTGATGCAGTGGGATGACACCAAATGGGGGATACGCAGGCGGAGGCGTGTTGTGAGGCCGGAATTGTTGCCCATCATGACGTTCGCTCCGTCGGTGCTGATGCCTGCAATGCGCTGAAGGTCAACCCCGACTGCCTGCAGATGTGATAAAAGAACGCCCAGAAGAGAAGTGGCGTCGGCCTTCTCCACGGTGAGTAACGCCATGAACTCCATGACGAGCTTGTTGTCACGGATGAAGGTGATGAATAGGATCTTGTGCTTTCTGCTGCACCTATCCGTGCTCTCGTCAATCAAGATGCCGATGAAGGGCGACGACAGCACATGTTCCAGCTGGGTTGTCTGGAGCCATGTCGCAGTCGCTTGCGTCAGCTCACTGAAGCCGTATATGCACATGAAAACAATAGTCAGTAACATAATAG